ACCACAGACTCAGATTACAGAACCAGAAACGCCTTTGCTCACAAATCAGGCCATTTCCTCTTCCAGGCTGCACTCTGGAAACATTAATATGCACTGATGAACAATGACATGAAACTGAACCCGTGGAGATTAACTGGATCCATTTATTGCTCATTATTCTCACGTTTTAAAACAAGTTAATCAATTAATTGAATCTGGTTTTGATTCCTAATCAGTGTGAACACAAATACTGATGCCCTTTATTTACTATACTGATGTTATCCTGTAAGATCCCTGAGGATAAAATGAAGAGCTTTGTGTTTATCGGATCATTTAGAAAGTTTTCGATTATAAACAGTTTAATCACTGATCTGAAAATTAAACACAAAGTTAGTGAAAGTTTAAATTTAGCTTTTGTCATTTTCAGTAGCAGCTCCTGCATATTTTTGTCCCCGCGTCATTCAACACAATATCAAAAACAAAATGTTTTCAAAAACACCAAGAATGAAAATATACTGACGTGATCTCTAGTTTGAAAAATCATGCCTCCCTGGGCGAGAGCCCACCTGAAACCAGCGCTGCTCAGACTGGTTTATTGGACGGATTTCATTTTATTTTTATTTTCCGAAGAACCAAAAACATCAACAGGCTTTTGGAATCTGGACTCGGATCTTCAGCAAAGCAGGAAAGATTTTGGGAAAAGCTCGGCGTGTTTCAGCCGCCGGCCGGCCGGGTCGGCGAAATGAAACGAGACTCCTCAGCGCTTTCACCACCACCTCCGGTTTATCTGATAAGACGAGGCCACTTCACTTCTGACTGGAATGTGCAGCAAATCTTCATTTAATCAGATTAGAGGATTTAGCTCTGATTTAGCTCCTTGTCGTCTGAGACACCTTTTGAATTTGTAGCTGATTTTTCTCTTTTGCACAGAAAACTGCAATCAGTTAAATTACACAGTAAAAAATGAGTTTTGTTTCATTAATTTGTTTTTAAGTCATATTTTCAGTTCTTCAAAACTAAAGTGCTAAGCAAAACAAACAAAAGTTTACAAACTAATTATTAAGCTAGCAAATTAAATATTTAATTTTCAAACTAAACATTTATTTTTTAAACAAAATATTTAGTTCATGTTTGCGTTTAACATTTAAATGTTTGCATTCAACAGTTTCTTAATTTGTTTTAATGAACATCATGATTCTTTGCACAAAAAATGAAGAAAAACTACCATGAAGATATTTTGTGAGATAAAAGGTGTCATTTCTTTTTTCCCAACTGAAATCAGTGTTTAATTAAGATCTGATGGATGAAATGATCATGAATTAACTCTCCAATCAGTTGTTCATGTGAAACAGGAAAAACTTTTAAAGCCAAACAGACGCAGCTCTGGAAACTCATTTCATTTGGGCTCCACTTTGTTCATCTACATTGTTCATCTTTATGGGATTATCCATCATTCATAAGCCCACCCATTTGATTCCTGCAATACGTCTCTGAAAATGCAGTCATGAAGAAAAATGTTTTATTGGAAATGAAATTAGATTCTGTGCCACGTCGTTTATTATCTGGTGGAAACGACCAGCAGGTTGAATGAATCGTCCTACTTAACATCCTGGCTGGAAACAGGAAGATTCAGGTTCTGTTGCTTGTTTTATTATAAATCCACATGTTGAAGATCATTTATGTCTGGCTCAGAAAGACACGTTTCTATTTCAGGAATGTCAAGTTATGATGTAAAATGGATTTTAATAAAATTCTGACATCAAACCAGAGATACAATCACTGCTAGCTAAACAGTTAGCTGGCTACCCTTAAAGCACTAGTCATAAACATTAGCTCTGCTAATGCTACAGAATGATACTAACACTGGACTTAGCAGACGCTAATGCTAAACTGCTACAAAAACAAACTATCTTAAGTCAAACTGCATGACCAATGTGACAACTAGCCAAAGCTAATGCTAAAACCGTACTTAGCGGTGCTACAAAAGCAAACTGTCTAGCAGAAGCTAATGCTAACGTGTGAACTTCAACACCAATCATTTTTGCCCTGAAGCAGCAGTTTTACCGTTTTATTTTGTTCTTGTTTCTTGTTTGAAATGAAATTATTGGAGGAAAAACGAAAATATAAGGAGAGAAAATGGAACTACTGTGTTCCTTCAAAATAAGAGCATGAATTACAAATGTCTACTTGAAAAATTCTTTAGTCAAAAATCAAATTTCATTTGACTGAACATTAAGAAACAGCAAATTTATCCAGAAAAATAAATTTTAGGAGAAGCTAAATGTTTCAGAAGTTAGCTAAAGCACGAAACAAAACTGAGCTCCACGTTTAAGAAGTTCGTCCACTAATGCTAATTAATGGATCAGAGTTCTGTGAAAGTCAAAGGTGTTAAAGCCGTCATCGCGTTTAAACTTAATGTGTTTAAGACGGAGCAGCAGCTACAATTAATTAGACATTACTGTTCATCTAATTTCCGCCTGCAGCAATGTCACTCAGTTCCCTTCCTGAGCCCAGTTTCCCAGTATGAACCTCTTGGTTTCACCAGTCCAAGGCTTCAGACAGAAATGAATAGAAGAAATATGTTTATTTGCTGGACACAATGAAGCAGAACAGATTCATTTATTCCTAATGGATTATTAGTGACCTGCAACTTGGTATTTCTGTTTGTGTGTGTGAAGCTGCAACACCTGATTCTGTTTGGACATGAACTCTGCGCCTAAGACAGCAGCAGAAAGCCAACTGAGCATCATCTATATTGCATGCAGAGGCTGAAAGGGAAGGACTGCAGCGGAAAACGTATCTATGACCTGCAGACACTGAGCAGCACAAACAGCATCAGACAGAGAGGCACAAAGCAGTGCTGCAGCATCAGCTCGGTGTGCCGGTGCCAGTATTGACCCGGGAACAAATTGCAAATGTGTTTTCAGCGAATCAACACCTCATCCCCTGCCACAAAAATACAAGCATTCAATTTCATAGTTCATTAGTGTTGGTTCTGGCAGCGACTGCAGAGCATCAAATCCTGAACATTTTTAATTTGGTAACAACTTATTCGATCCTGATTCTGTTGCATCAAATTGATTTTACTCAATGTAGCAACGACATGAAATGTCAGGCTGATTAAACCACAAAAAAGCTAAGATACAGTTTTAAACCTGATCAATACAGTTGATTTGTTCAAAGATTAATGACTGACTTTTCCTTGGAGGTAAAACTTGAACTACAGGCGAAGATAAAGAGATTTATTCTCCTTTAAAATATAAACAATGTGTTTTTAAACCCAGAGTCGTTTGGTGATGTGCTAACAGTGGGGCTAGCTTTAGCGCTTTAGCATTTTTGCTAACTTTAACAACACTTAGCATGAACCGTACAGGTTGGTGTCAGTGACAAATCTGACCCTGTTGGGGGCGCTGTGCTATTTTACTACACATTTCATGACATTAACGCATAATGGGTGTCATCATGGTTGAGCTTAGCGAGCTAGCATGTTTAGCTGTAGCAGAACTAAAGTTTGGGATTAGCGCATCAGGGTTAGCGCCGCTAACTTTTTAGCTAGCGGTGCTAATCACAGCCTGAACATTCAACTGATGATTTAAGGAATTTTAGGATCTATTTCTCATTTTGCATCATTTCAATTAGAATCAGAAACAGAAGGAAAGTTTTTCCATCCTGGATTTATTTCCTCCAGGTTTGGATTTCTGGGTTTTAACCGAGAAACTGAAACATAAATGGAAATCCAGCAGAAAAGACCAGATAATGACGACGTTTCTGTCTTTAGCTGAACTGAAAGGCTTTTGTTGTCCAGAAAAAGTCAAAATTCAGACTTTGGTTGATTTACGTGGATGAAAAGCGAAGAGCAGTCAGTGAACCAGCGACACGTCGCCCAGATTATTATAATCTGTTCATGCTTCCTGCTCAGGCGGTAAAAACTCCAGTCAGACGTCGTGACGTCACGAGTCGTGACTCATCGCCTGCATGACCTCACGCGGTGACCAGTGGCTCCCCAGCGTCAAACTGGGACACAGGCTGGGAGTTCAGGGAACATTTTGGGATTAAAGGCGGCGTTTGTAAAGGTGGAACTGCGTGGAAGGTAAATATTTTCTAAATGTTTGGAAATGACCTCAGGATCGTTTTAATGCTGATGTTTTTGCTCGAGTCGCCGCTGCATGTCTTCACGTCAGGAACTGGAGCAGAATGATTTCCTTCCTACAGACGGATTAGATAAACATACATGTTCATTAAAACAGCAAATTTAGATCATTATTTGATATTTAACTGGTATTTTTAAACTAAATACGATGAGAAATGTTGGGTTTCCAGTTTCTTGACGGACGTTTCTATGACTGGGACGTTGCATATCTGAAAGATTTTATTTCCAACGTTTCAGAAATAAATATGTTTAATTACTGCGGCATGACGAGGCAGCAGAAGTTTTTATTCTGATTTCGGGTCCAGTGGGGGAATCAGACACCAATAGGCTGGAAAGCCTCCAGCTGAAGCTGCGGCGGCAGAACAATGAAAGCCGACTGTTGGTTCAGCCGGGATGTTAATCGGGTCAAATGATTGGACATGACAGGCCTGGCAGTAGGTCACGGAGACAGAGGACAAGAAATAATCCTGCTCCAGAAACCCCGATCATCATCACCATCATCACCAGCTGGAGACCCGTTTCCTGCGGCTGGCCGCCGTTTCGCCGGCAATCTGGGGCCTTCGCAGAAACGTAGAACAAAAGAAGAGAAAATTTGTAGAATAAAAACTGTATTTTTTCCTTGCAGATTTTCATCAGACAATTTATTAGTTTTTTCTTAAAAATGAATGAAATGAATCAGGTTGTTTTCAAGCTTTAGATGTTTAATAAGTTACTTTATTTGATTTAACGTCTCCAGACCCAAAACGCTGTTTTCTAAATGCACATTTGTTAACATAAACTCAGTTGTCTTACTGGTCCTGCACCAGCAGGGGGCAGTACAGCCAGTGGATCAGGATTGCAGCACGGCTAAAGCAGAGCTAAGCTAAATATCCTCCAGTTTTCTACTTTAATTTGATTTAAAATAGTCTAGTAGAAAATGCTGATATTTATGCAAAAAGGCTCAAATATTCAGCAAAGTGGTTAAAAAAGTTGTTTCTACTGTTAAGCAGCTTCTTAATGAGCATTTGCTAATTTTGCATAAACATGTTTGTTGCTAATTGCGATGACTTTGTTTAATACTGATTATTTATATCAAACATGTGGAAATGTTCCTCACTTATCTGCTGCCTTTTCAGCTTCACAGGAGGACAGGAAAATTAGGCCAATTAGGGGAAAACAATTAAATTTGTATTTATTGATTGTTTTATTTGTTGTGACAACGATGACATGAGTTTTTTTCCTGCACGGTTTATTTTACCTGAACGTCTATTTGAGGAAAACGTTCATCCAGAGAAACGCAGAAACTCTTGGATTTGTTTCAGAAACGCCAACATTCATCATGGATCTGAGAAACGACTGATTCTCTGAGCTTCATTTTGGTTGGAGCTTCTTCAGAAAAGCACTGAGCTTTAAACGTTTGTTTAAAGTCGTTTTATTCACGTGTTTCTAATTACTTTGCTGCTTCAGACGTAAAAATCATCAAACTGTTGAAGAAAATCACAAACAACATGAAGTTAAACTCGTTTTGTCCACATCAGTTCTGGTTTCGCTGCTGATTTGCTTTAGATTCATTTCCTTCCTGATCACTGATTGATACGTTGATAATTGTAGAAAACTTTTTCTGCTTTGTAGCATCAAAATAAACCGTACTTAGAAACGTTTTGCGCTGCAAAGGTTCATCCTGGTGCACATGCAGGATATGAAACATGTTTATTTCATCAACTACAAACTGAATTCACTTTCAAGGAGCTGAAGTTGAGTGCTGGAGGTCACCACCACCCCTCACCACCGACACCCACTTCCTGTGAATCTGAATAGTGCGTCCTTGTCTCAGAGCTGCATGCATAATGGCTTCTGTCGCCGTTATTCCCCAGAAAACGTCACGCGGTCGAAATCAGGCCAGGATGCAACGCTGCAACATTTTCGGTCTGACAGGAAGTCCGTATTTAACGGCCTAAATCAAGCATTGATGTCAGTTTATTCTGAGGACGGAAAACTTTCACTCATTCAGATCCAATCCTGTTACCTCTGGAAAATAAATGTGTGTAGCTGCAGGTGAAGCAGAACGATGGCAGTGAAACCGGTCTGACCGTTGCAGCTGATTTCTAGTTATTTGTGATTCCATCTGTTTTCCTTTTCACCGAGTTTCTGTGGCTCCCAGCAGCAGAGTGAGGATGATGTCATCCAAGCGTCATTTATTTTCACTGTGAAATTAGTCGCATCGTTTTATCATAGTGGGAAAATGTCGGTTTTTAGATGCATCTCTGCAGATTCAACCTTCACTGAACCAAAAGCAGCTTTAATCTCCTGAATTTGGCTGAAAGGAGCATTTTTAAAGAATGTGACTCTAAATTATGTTTTTATGACATAATAAACTTTTTATATTTAATTTGAAAACAACATGCATTTCTTTTAAAATAGAAAACCTGAAAATCATGTTAATATTTAGGATCTACAATTAATAACGTCTCTAAAGTAAAACTTCACTCCTTGATTTGCTTGATTTTAGTTCTTCTGAATCATTGATTTCACAAAAACATGGAAACAGTAAATAACTATAAAACAGGCTGCGGTGACATCATGAGTGGTTTGCTTTCGCTGATGCTTTTTAAACAGTTTGTCAGTGGAGCGTTTCGTGTTTCTGCAGGTGCCTGGCTGAGTTTCGCTGCTCTGCATCTTCCTGTGAGGACGTCCGAGGGCAGAAACGTTCCCAGTCCCACCCAGCATGGACAACACCAAGGTCCAGTCCGAGGGCGGCCTGAACGTCACCCTGACCATCCGCCTCCTCATGCACGGGAAAGTAAGAAACACCTGCAGCGCTTCAGATCCAGAGCAAACCCAGCTTTTATAAAATAAAAACATGCATTTAATAAATATTATACTGAAATACATGTAAATTATGTCACACTGAAACTGCTGCTCGACTGTCATAGTGTTTCAAGGTTGGCAGCATTTTAACGTTAGCTTCTGCTAAATTCCATGTTAGCATAGCGCTTTAGCATTAGCTTGCACTACGACTGTCATGCTTTAGTGTTGGAGGGAGTGATATTTATGCTTCGTGCCTCAGAGTTAGCAGAGCTAGCGGTTTAGTTAGTGCTAAATAAACGATAAAGATGTTTTGGTTTTGTTTTTTGCAGGAAGTGGGGAGTATAATCGGTAAGGTGCGTACTCTGGTTTATGTATAAAAACATGTAATTTCTCAAACATTAATTGATACTGTAATGTTTTGCATTTGGTTTATTTTTAACAGAAAGGAGAAACTGTGAAGAAAATGCGTGAAGAGGTGAGATCCTGGAGTAAGAATCAACATTTATTGAATCAAACATTAGAAATCAAACTAAAGATGCAAGAAAACTCAGGAAAACCAAACTTGTTAGCTTGTGGCTGAACTGGAACAACTTATGCAATGGCAGCAGATATTGACTTACATCCATGAAACTAAAACAGGTTCCATGCTTTAGCTTGACTGGCCACCTGAGAAGCTTTGAGTACGGAGGCCATTAATGGCCAATATTCAGGCTAAATGTAAAAAAAGGTCCTTTGTGCCGTTTCTTTCAGAGCGGAGCGAGAATCAACATTTCAGAGGGAAACTGTCCAGAGAGGATCGTCACCATCACTGGACCTACAGACACCATTTTCAAGGCTTTCGCTATGATTGCTTATAAATTTGAGGAGGTATGAATCTTCCACACCAAGTCCGGCCCTCAAGGGCGACATCTCTGCTGAATCTCACCTGGACCAATAAACGTCTCACCAGACGCTGGTGAGCGAATTCAGACATTTTGGAGCAGAGATGCGTCTAAACGTTGCAGGACGGTAGCCCCTGAGGACTGGACTTGGAGACCCCTGTTCTACACGGTTAGTGTAAAGCAGATCCATCAGTCAGGATATTATCAGTATATTTCAGTGGAAGGTAACTGGATTCTTCTCTTGTTTCTTGAAGACCTTCCGGTCAAAATGGTGGAACTTAGTGGCCTACCCAAAGTACAACCTACTGTAGGAAACTTGGCCAAACTCTCCAGATTCTGTAGACAGACTGGACCTTCTCCTTGTAGGCGCTTGTTGGATCCATTTGCTGTGCAAAGCAGTAGTTCAGAGATTTCCTTACTAAAGAGTGTTGAAGATCTTTGTCCTTCTCCTCTGGATCACTGGCAAATCGGCGACGGTTTAGCAGTGGAGTGGAGATTGTCGTCCTTTCCTGGGTTTGGAGGTTAAAAAGAGACGGTTGCTTCTATAATGTTCTTGTGACTCTGTGGTAGCCATAACATCTACCAGTGATTCCTGTGTTAACTGATTCCTCACCTACTGGTCTCCACTGTCCAGACTGGAAGTCTCTGTGTCTTTCATGGTAGATCTGGACACCTTTGTCTTTTTCAATGACCCTGGAAACTTCTTTAATGTCGGAGGAAGGAAGAAGTATGGAAAGCTACTGGTGCATTTGGACAACACCGTCTTAAAGTCCCTCGTTGGTGGATTGAACCGTCAGGTTCTCTTGAAGCAACTCGAAAAGGTTCTGGTTTGGTTTATGGTCTTTAATTGTAGATTGGATTCTTAACATCTTCTCACCGTCCCGCACCATTCCTGGTCCTTCTTTGGGAACAAGGATCAAGGTAGGACGTTAGGAAACATCCTTAGGAAACATCCTAAGAAGGACATTAGGAAACATCCTCAGGTCTTTCTTTGGTCCGTTGTTTCTCCGGTGAGGTAGAGACTCAATCATCCTGGACTCCAAGTACTGAAGCAGAAGAAACTTCCCATCTTCTCCCATAGTGACCATTCCGAGCATTCAACCTCCCAAACAGAAGTCATTATCATTTCCTGGTTGAGAATCTGGACCGGTCCATTTCAAATTATTCAGATTGTTGAAATTCTGACTCCAATATTCGACTCAAACTTTTGGTTTTGCTTGTTTTTAATTCAAACATATAAAACCAAACCCTTTTTCTTTCAGCCCAGATGTCAGCTAAAGTTTCATTAGATGCTTCCTGCTTTCTTCCCCACTGATCTTATCCAACGCTGAGCAACGGGACTCAGGACACAAAGTTGAGCGTCATTAATCATTTCTGTGAAGTTTTCAAACTAAACATGTGGCTCCACAGTCCCTGTTTAGCAAGCACAGAAACATTACAGTCACTCTCTAATGTTCTGTACAGTTTTCTGTCGATTTGCTTTGTATAGATAGTTTCTGCTAATGCAATTAAACACCATGAACGTTTGAGGCCACATTACTCCTGCAGTGAATTATGATCTGTTTGTTTCAGGACATAATCAATTCGATGAGTAACAGTCCAGCCACCAGCAAGCCGCCCGTCACCCTGAGGCTGGTTGTGCCGGCCAGTCAGTGCGGCTCTCTCATCGGGAAGGGAGGCTCCAAAATCAAAGAGATGCGAGAGGTGAGCGACCCGAACGTCACCTGATCATCACTCAACCGCAAGCAACTAACTTCTGCAATTAGGTGTTAAAGTCGTGGACAAAATGTCCAGATCACCTCAACTCCAGACAAGCCAAACAGTGAAGGGCTAAAGAGCTAGCTGCGCTAATTATTAGCATGCTAATCAGTGGAAGCTAATGCTAAACGGCGTGAGGGAGGAAAGCTTTATTCAACTGAAAGTTTACGACACAGCCAATTAAATTATTGCTTTTTAAATCATCTGGACCAGGAGTACTTTCTATTTTGTCTTTATTGTAACCGACCACAGACAACAAACCTCCTGCAGCTCCTGCATTTCAGTTTGCAGTGATATTAATAAACTGTATTAGCAGTGATATTAATAAACTGTTAGTCAGTGCAGAAAAACTCTGTGCTCTTTTTACTGTAAAATCAGCTAGTTATTTATTTATTGGATACTGCAAAACCCAAAAAGGGATCGGTATGATTCTTGTGCACTTATTTCTTAAAAATGTGTTTTTGTGCCTCGTGAAAAAAGACTCAGAAATTATCCAGAACCGGAAAGGATTAAACACAAAAAGCTCAGCATGTTGGTTTGTTGAAGGTTTTCTACATAATCACTAAGAATCCAGGAAAAATGTTTCAAAAATCACAATAATTTAGCTGCAACACAAGCGGAGAAAAGGTTCACAGCAAACATGGAAAGAACGAAAACTTGTCCAAAACAGTTCAAGGCAAAAATCCTCTCTGAACAACTGCAGCTCGTTTTCCCTCCACACTATTCAGCTTTCCTCTCTGTTAAAGCCGATCCGTTGTCTGCAATGTGGATTTTTAATGACTATCATCGACGAACCTGAAGTCGTTTAAATTAGGAGCCTGAACTTAGTGGTTCTACATAAGAGCCACAAACTCTTTAAAGTCTGACGAAACACATGAAATGAGACAAAATGGCCGCGGCTGAGAGTGGAGGGGAAAACAAATGTGTTAAAACTTTGTTGATGTTCTGCTAATGAAGAAAACTAAGAGAAAACTGAAAGATGAAAACACCAACATGAGAAATAATGAGAGGCAGCGGCGGCTCCTCGCTTTTGGGACGAGGAGGACAAAATAAATGTTTTCCTACTGGATACAAACAGACATTTTGTTGCAGTTTTGCAAAATACATCAATTTATGAGCGCAGCCTGGAAAACCACCACATCGCAACATTTTAAAAAAATTGTTTTCACAAAATTTGCGCCTTAAGCTGGTTGTTATTTTCTAGCCAATTGTTTTATAGCCGACTGTACCAGTGTGTACGGCTGAAACCTATAGGAAAATTCAACTGCAGTAGCCACTCTTCAAACCAAAGAGGGCAGCACTGAGCCAGTTTTAGGTTAATGTTACAGGATTTTCAAAAATTACAGAAGAATTTTACAATTTGCACAGAAACATGAAGATGGATCCGTTAAGGAACCATTTCTGCAGCTCAGCTGCGAAACCAAAGGCATTCGGGGTTTAGTGACATCATACTGTGGCTGAAGACACCAGACAACCTTCAGAGGACGATGCGTCGGCCATGTTGTCGTCACGCTGGAGGTCCAGCTGGTCATCCTGAGACGTGTCAACAGTTTCTGAGACACGGGGAAAACAGAAGCTTGAGGCAAAGTCATGTTTGGCATTTATCGACAGAGCCGTCATAAATGTAACAATGATGGAGCCTCTAGTTAAGAAATGATGCAAGAGCGATGGAGAAAAAACAACGAAGCGTCCCTTTAAGACAGTGCAGCGACAGCCAGGGGACAAGCAGACAATAACATTTACTGTCAACTATATGAACTCAGTGTCTACAAGCTTCTGCTGCCCTCAGGTTAATGTCAGCAGATGGGACCTGAGAAATGCCGTACGGGAGGAGATTGGTGCCAAGCAGCATGTCCTGAAGGCAGGACGTTGTTATCACAGATGGACATGTCTCAGCTGGGGCAGACATTAAAGACGAGGCCGGTCGAAACATCTTAATTAGTCCAATTAACCGAGAAGCCGTAAAACAAATATCCGCCCTGCACCTGGAGGCGCCGCGTGACCCAACGGTCCGTCACAGAGCCGCCCTGCAAACACTCGACCCGTCTTCTTCTCCAGTCCACAGGGGCCCAGGTCCAGGTGGCGGGGGACATGCTGCCCAACTCCACCGAACGCGCCGTGACAATCTCTGGAACCCCAGAAGCCATCATCCAGTGCGTCAAACAGATCTGTGTGGTCATGCTGGAGGTAAAGTCACTGAACGTATCGGTAACGACTTACAGTCATTAAAACACACACACACACACACGCATGCAGAAACACACACACACACACACACACACACGCACACACACACACCCCGCTGGTCGGTACATCAGATTAATGGCCGGGTTTTTAACCATCCTCGCTGCTCAAATGCTGCATCTGCACTGATTAAATGATATATTGCTATATGCTAACGACATTAGCGCATTTACAAGATGTTATGATCTGTCGCTCGTTAAGTTACACACTTTAAAAACTTCAGCTTCAAACTAAATATTGAGCTGAGTAAATATAAAGCTTATAAAATATTTAGCAAAGTTATTTAGTTCACCAACAAAATATGTAACTTTCTAAATGTTTAGTTAAAAAGCTGAATAATTTACTTTTTAAGGTTAGAAAGCTAAATATTTAGCCTGCTATCTAAATGCTTATCTTCAAATTACTATAGTTTAAAGTTAATATTTGGTTAGCAAGCTAAGTAGCTTTGCTAATATTTATCTAAACTAAATATTTAGTTATTCAGTTGTATATGTGGATTGATTCCAATTTTTAACTTGACAAAATAGACAAATTGCAGCAAAATATTTCACTTGCCAAATATTTATATTTAATTTGAAACTGACATTAAATGATGAATGAACCCCATTTCTTCCTGTGGACATAAACTAAATTGTTTTAGTTTTTGACTGTTGGTTTAATAAACACCATAAGGGGCCAACAGACAATATTTATTTCAAATATTAAAATTATACGACTGCAACAAACTCACAGCAGGACAAAGTGCAGCTGCGCTTCATTTCATTCACAATGTAAAACGATGCAAAGCCAACAGATGGACACGATTCCTCTGCATTTATTAAAGTAAAATAAACTGATAAAAAAGAATAACTGCATCTTCTCTGTTTCTTCCAGTCCCCACCAAAAGGTGCCACCATCCCGTACCGCCCAAAGCCCGCCTCCACCCCAGTCATCTTTTCAGGTGGCCAGGTGAGTGCTGAGCTAGCATTAGCTGAGTTAGCATTAGCTGAGTTAGCATTTGGTGAGCTAGCAGTAGCTGAGTTAGCATTAGCTGAGTTAGCATTAGGTGAGCTAGCATTAGCTGAGCTAGCAGTAGCTGAGCTAACAGTAGCTGAGTTAGCATCAGCTGAGCTAGCATTAGCTGACCTGAGTTAGCATTGGTTGAGTTAGCATTAGCTGGGTTACACTCGTGATTTAAGCTTCTATTTATTAAAATATTACGTCCAGCCAGCAAAAAAAAAAAACATGTTAAACTGAAAAGTGGCTTTACTGAAAAGTAGATTTAATGCCAGTATTTTGTTGATTAAATTATAATTTAATTGGATTAGATTTGTTTTTATGGAGCTTAATTTGAATCTAACATGGCTCCTGTTACTTTTACTCCTGTGATAAAATGTCAACTGGTGGCATTAAGTGACATTTTATTCAATTTAGCGGGTTTCCTCTGCAGTCATGTCTCCCACTCAGTAAATCATTTTTGAATATTTTCTGCTAATAATTTGTTCCCAACTTTAAACTGTCCACCAAATCTGGGAGTTTCAGGAAATAAGAATCTATAAATAACTTGTGAACGAACTGAATGGCTTTTTTCTGTAAACTGCAAAACGGTTGCAGTTTAAAATGTTTCCCCAAAACTTCCAAAAAGGAAAATAAGTGAGCAGTAGAGAAGATGAAGTAGCTTAGAAATGTTCCAGCATCAGAGAGAAATGCATATTATTTTAGATTCAACATATTTAATGTTTCCAACAAATCTTATGAATCAAAACCGAATGTCAATTATTTGTAAATCTTTATGCCTTTTACAATTCCTGAATAACAAACTTAGTTTTATTTAAATTTGGTGATAATTTCTTAATATCAAACCACTTTTTCAATTTTCATATCTAAATTCATTTCCATCAAAAGATGCTGTAAATTTTCACCTGTACAAAAAAAAATGTTTGTTTTGTCTGCAAACAAAACTAAATTAACTGTTTTGGAAACTTTACATGCATCACATGTTTACTATGCGATGTGCTTTGCAAGACATAAAAATACATTTTAAAACCTTAAAGACAAAAGTAAAGCTGCATTTTTAGCTGCTGTTTTTTGACCTCTGACCCCAGCCGCCCTCGCTCCGCTCCGCTCCAGCCACTGAATCACCTTATCTCAGCGTCTGTCATCCGTGATTATCTACGCCACGTGTGAGCCTTATCAGCCGGGAAAACAGGCAGCAGCTGCAAAAGCTGCTGGGAAATCGGCCACTTTAGTGACATCACTCTGTTTTGATTCTGCGGCTCGTCAGCCGGCGTCTCGCTGCTGAGGACGGTCCAGTTTTCCTGGAGGAGTCGGACCTCATCTCATCTCTGCTGATCCAACTTTAATTCAGTTTCTTTATTAACTTGTAAAGATCAATTTGAAATGCATCGTTAGCTGAGCAGGCGCAAACTCACTTTGAATACGATAAACTCAAAAAAAACAACAAAACAACAAGAAAACGCTGCAGCGGGAAAACTGCAGATAATCCTCCAGGCCACTAGAGGGAGTCTGGAGCTGCATTCCATTTAAAACGTTACCATTTAACTCCTAATGATGCTATTTTTGAATATATTATGTCACAGAGTTTGAGCATTGGGTTGAGTAATGCCAGGAAGGATTAGGGCTTAACCTCTGCCCTGACCTTTGACCTTCAGGTTTCTGTAGATGTTCATTTTCAGCAGGTTTGAGGTCGGAGCATTTCCAGATGGTGAATATCGTATGAGCTCCAGAACCAGTTCATTGTCCCAAAGTGTTTATTGTTGTTGGAGCCCCCAGCATGACGCTGCCACCACCATGTTTCTCATGTTTTCTTGCATCATGATTTGGTTTTTCTCCAAGCTGCAGCTCGACTTGGCGTCTGTCCACCAGCGCTCACATTAACCTGGTTCTGGCTGGATACTGGTTCCCGGCTGGTTCCCAAACATTTTCACCTGTTTCTTTCCATCTGGGGGGTTTTGGGTCAGACGGTTAAATCTTGAACACAGCTGGATCTCCCAGCAGGCGAATGATCCCACATAAACACCCAACCTGGTTTCAAAAGCTTCTGGCCCGACTCCATTTCATTAAACGCCAACTTTCTGCCAGGAAACCAACAGATTTAAATGAATATTTCCAATCCTGATATCCAGCCTCACGACCAAACCAGTAAATCAATTCTCGTTACAAAACCGTAAAATTAAGATGTCTGTCCTGTTCACTTGTGAAAAAACGGAAAAGAAAAACAGTGTTGCACGTCCTGCCAGCAGTGACACGTCTTTTTGCTGTTGTCTCTTCCAGGCCTACACGATTCAGGGACAGTACGCCATCCCACACCCAGACGTAAGTTCTCCGTTTCCTCTAATTCATGTCCTGCATTTCGTTACACCTGAAGCTGGACATTTACACTCTGCATCAGAGCAGAGGACTCTTTCTATTGGCACTGCCATTATTGTCCCTTTTTGGCTCAGATATTAGAGTTTCTGTTTGCTAGAATAATGAGGCATTTTGTTGTTCTCCATTAAACACGCACCGTGTTGCTTTTGAGCCATTTGGAACCAACTCGTTGCTGAGGGACGTTGTCCACGTTTTCCCCTCATTATTTCCACAAAATGTCGTGTCCTTGTGATGCCGTCTGATGGATGAAGTGCACCAGTTCCTCCTGCAGCAAAACGGCACCACAACATGATGCTGCCGCTCGCATATGAAGCTCCTTTGCTTTTCTAATGGTTGTTACATTTTCAATCTTAATTTTATCAGACACAATGAGATGAAATAAGTTTGTTCCCACAGGAAATTTAACTCTCATCTGTTTCTTGACTTCTTCCTTTCTGAATGGCGTTTCAGATAATAACGCGGTTTAACAAATTCACACGGTCTTTCGTAAATTAAGCTTATAGGAGCTTAGAACGTCATCAATAGTTTCTGAAAGCATTGTTTAAGTGAAGAAAGTTTAATAAAAGGAGAAAAAACAGCGTCTTTCTGCACAGTCAGTAAAGACCTGGTTTCTGTTCAGATACAATCAGATCTTCTGATTTGCTTCAATTTAAGGACTTTGAAAAAACTCAGTAATCTCTTTCTGTAATGTCAGGGTTTCTGCAGGTTTCCATTCAAATTTAAGACTTTTTAAGAGAATTGTGAGTGAAATGTAAGAATGAATATGTCATGTAGCAAAGCCAAGCTCTTTAGCACAGAGCATTGAACAGTCTGGCATCAGAAGTGAGCCAGTGGCAAAGACCAACATCACCAAACCAACCGGCACACTTACCAATGATCGCTGCAGAGCTAGCTGCAGAGCTAGCTGCAGAGCTAGTTGCAGAGCTAGCTGCAGAGCTAGCTGCAGAGCTAGCAAGGGTTTATTTGTAGCTAATTAGCAGTAGCCTCATCCGCCTTGAGTGACAGAAAAGTCCTGTGGGTCAAGAAAGTCTACATGAGACTAACTAGTCCTGCCTCCACAAAGTCTAAGACTGTGATTAACGTATTTCAGTCCAACTTGCATGATTTCTGATAAATGTAAGACATTTTCAGGCCTTGATTGTAGATGCATGAACTGAAGGTGGACATCCTGAGTGTCAGTAAATCTCTGGGTTAAGCTGTTCGTGGACACAGAGGCTCTTTTCTGGACTTCAGATCTGCTGAAGTTTCCCTGCAGCCCAGCAGTTGGTCCGACCTGGTCGATACCATGAAATGGTCCTGTGCGGATCATAAAGACGGCGTTGATGCCGACGGCTCCGCAGCCGTTAATAATCTGCCTTCATCTGTCCTTGTCGTTAGAGCATCTCAAGAGCTACCTGGTGTCAGATCCACTAATTCAAAGCCCAACGGTGATTGATGCCAGAGGAGCTGGATGCTGACGGTGCAATCACTCAAGTGCAGACTTGACCAGCTCGTCCCACCCTCGTTAAAAACTCCCTTCAAAAGGAGAGGATGCTTTTAATGCACCCTGGGATCATGTTCACAGCGCAGTAGCGCCTGGCCAGCGTCAGGCTACAGGTTGCTGCTGAAAATTCATGAGCAAATTAAATGACAAACATATCTGAGAATCACAAGAAGGCAGAAAAACGACTCGCATTATCTGGTAATTTGCATCTTCTATCAGAAAACCATCGTCTCTTTGTGTCTCTTGCTTTTTGTCCTCCACCGCCCCGTCTCATGTCTTCCTTCTCCTCACCCTTGCTTCACTCTGGTTTATGTTTTCTTCATTTCTTGGTGTGACCTGTGTAACAGTAACCTCTTAGTTTTACTTTCCCTCCTAACCCTTCAGCAGTTGACCAAGCTCCACCAGTTGGCTATGCAGCAAACCCCCTTTACCCCTCTCGGACAGACCACCCCTGCTTTCCCTGGTACGTACCCACAAGGTACCCCTGTAGACGTTTTCTCCTCTTTGCATCCAGAGAAACATATTTCTTCTCTTCCCCTACCTCCACCTTATCTCTCTTTTGGCACAGCATGACTTTGCCTCCGTCGTTCCTTTCCTCCTTTGATTTTCTTTAACTCATGTTTTTTTCTCGCCCCTGTCTGATATTACTCCAGTAAAGAGGGAATAAAGGAAAACACAAGCCGCTCTTATCATTTATTCAGCTATCGCAGGTCAGAGTCCACCAGCAGATTTTCAACGGACTTAAAGATTCTTCTAAAAGTGAAAATCAACAGATTAATGCAGCATCTTTATCTAAAACATCACAACTTCAGACCCTTTTATTTAAGTTTTGCAAATTCAGGAGGAAAATGGACACAACCAACTAGATCCACCAATTCACTGATAGCTTTTTTTGTTGTTTAGCGCTTTTGCTAACTTTTAAAATGTTTAGCGCAGTTAGCTTCAATTTACAGAAAAAATAAAAATGATTGTTTTGAAAATGTTCAGATGAATGAAGTTCAACATGTTAAGTTTTGTTGGGTTTTCTGCCAGTAATTACACGTTTATATTGATGCTCTTATTTTGAAGTGCGCGTTCACGTAGTTCTATTTTCTTACTTTCTCTCTTGTTTTTTTAAAGAAACTTTATTGAGTAAAATGAGGAGGTATACAGAATAATACAACACTTACATGAACAAATCCATGCAATTATCGATATTGTGAATGTCTGGAGAGCTTCCCAACACGTTAGCATTAGCTTCTGCTACACATCATGTTTGTGTACCATGTTAGCACTAGCAGAGCTAATGTTTAGCGTTAGCATAGGTAACTTTTAGTTAGCATGAGTGCATCTCTGGAGGTCTTGCGGTTTGAAGAGGATTATTGTTGCTTCAAGGTGTGGATTGAGGTCGTAGTTTTGGGTTTACAGCTTGGTTTGAGTGTTGGCAGCATATCTGCTCCATTTTCCTCTAGATGCCATGAATCTACGTTACCAACCGTCACGTAAAAGCAAAATGTTTTAAATGTGCTCTTCATTAAACTTGAACTGAAATGTTTTGCAAAGGAGATTGAGTTCTGCTGGTTTTGCTAATGAGTTCAGTGTTAGCTAGATGGCTAACAGGTGTTAGCATTTAGTGTTAAGCTAAGCTAACTATAAAATGATCGTAGTATGAAAATAAAATCTAACAATGTTTAACTTTGCTCCATTATTACAGCTGAATAGTTAAAGTAAACCATTTAAAACATTGTGTTTTGAAGTGGGTTTATATTCTAATGTTTTGCACCGCTTACTGTAGACCCCAGTGTGCTAAGCTAGGCTAAACAGTAGCTGCCTTTACATTAAATCTAAGTATATTTTTACACTCAGATGATTCAATTCCTTCAGATTACTTCAAAACATTGTCTTGTATTGTTCTTTAACTGGTATCTCCCCAGGCTAACTATTAGCCAACTTTATTTTCTAAATTTAAATTTACTAGTTTAAAGCTAAATCAAATGATTAAACATTCTTAAAAATATTAGAGCTTCTGCTTTAATGCATTTCTTTATAGTTGAGCGTTTATTAAAATTCTGCGTATCTGTATTGGTCTGTGTTAGCATTGCGTTAGCATTAGCTCAGAGCTAAAACCTCCAGTGTGTGCAGACTAAAACCTTGCTGGAAGGTTTTAGCTGCTGGAAGCAAAACCAGATGCAGTGACCAAACATTTTCTTGTCCACTCGTCATGTTCTGATTGGCTTTTGATGAAAATCTCTGGATTTTCCTGGTTTTTAGAGGATCAATAAAGCGCAGAAATGGCCTTTCATTGACGTCCCTCTGAGTGGCGGTTGGTTCAGACCAGGAGGGAACGGCAGCGAATGCAGAAACGGACCGACGGCGTTCTGCTTAATCTGTTTTTCACAAAGGCATCCCGTTAGTCACATGACGGACACAAACATCAGGAAACTGAAAGATGAGTTCAGACACAAAGTTGAACTCTAGTGTGCAGAGTTTCCTGTCTGATGCTTTTTATTTTTGCGTTTAATATCTTTTCAGATTTATGTAATTTTTCTCCTGGTTGACTTAAGAAATGATCTTTTATTGCTTCAGGTTAGTTTTCTGAACAGAGTCATTAGCGATATGAACATTTTCACCATTTTAAAACTGCTGTTATGGCAGAATTTACCAATATTTACCTCTTATTATGTCCATTTCACTAAACTTCTGACAACATTAAATCAACCACAGCACTTTGCTTCAGCCCATAATCTGACATCTCTACAAAACCACATGGTCCCCATAATGTGGCCCAGTTTGACTCATCACAACCGAAATGTTGATTGTTCTCTAGCGCTGGTCAACTTTTAAAAAACTGAACGACTAAATGCTCTACATGAAAATAGGTTTGTATGTTTCAACGGAGAACCAATGTTGCTCATTATCCTGCATCTGTGTTTAACGCGAGACTGAAATCTGCTTACAGATCAAACTTTTACACTGAAGTGACTCCGTAGATTTTTTTAAACTGTCGTACCTGATCTTAGGTTTGGATGCCAGCCCTCCAGCCAGCACCCATGAACTCACCATTCCTAACGATGTGAGTACAGCTGGAAACGTCTCAGACCCGTTTTTCATCAATACGCAGAGGAAAATGTAAGACTTGTTTCCACCCTCACATCAAGATGAAGTGTGCAGAAACACACTCTTATGATCCTAACAGTTATTCCACTGACCAACCAGCATCTCACATTAATGCACAGGCATGAACCACGATTACATTGATGATCCACACAAATTAAAGACACCAAAACTATATTTGGTACCATCTTTATTTAAATGTAACTAATCCATAATTTTTGCAAATAAGCTTTGTAAAGTAATTCTTAACGGTGCTATCTTCACGTTTCTGTGCAAATTACAACATTTTGGTGTAAATTATAGAAATTCTGCAATATTTTGCCTAAAACCTGCACAGTGCTGCCCTCTGTGGGTTGAATGGTGGTACTGCAGTCATATTTTTCTATTGGTTCCAGGTTGGTTGATGTCACTCAGCCCCAGTATAAAACCATCTCAGACACGCCCCCTGGTGGCGACCCAGAGTAGGAACGGTTAGTATCGTTAGCATTGAGCATAGCATTATGAAGCTAGTGTGACTGTGGACATGTAGTGGAAAGGATCCTCTCTCTGCAGCATTATGAGAAAATGTCACAAGATTTATTGCGAGTCACTTTAAGGGAAAAAAAATGTCCTGTGTTTCCAGTAAAATGTTTTAGGCAAAATATTATACAACGAATCAAATATACACAAAAATATCAACATTTGCACAGAAACACAAAGATAGAACCTTATACATCGAGACAGTTTACTGGCAGAGGAAAATGCTAATTTAGAGGTTTGGGTTTAAATAAAATGGCTGCCCTAACCCTAACCCTAACAGCAAACAGTTAACATGACTGTTAAGTGAATTGGTCTCTTTAAATTGATATTACTTTTAAGTATACACAATGAAGTTTTAATAATATTGGTTTAATCTGGTAATAGCTGATGAGTAAGATAATATATCACTGCCTCTTTTAATAAAACCCAGATCATTACGCTTCCCTTTTCATTAAACGTATCAATTATTGAGTCTAAACGCTGTGAGACAGCCCAGAGGCTTTTCTTCTGACTCTTTTGTTTTCCTTCACAGCTAATAGGCTGCATTATTGGGCGCCAGGGAACCAAGATAAATGAGATCCGGCAGATGTCTGGCGCGCAGATCAAAATCGCCAATGCCATGGAGGGCTCATCGGAGCGCCAGATAACCATCACAGGGACCCCTGCTAACATCAGCCTGGCTCAGTACCTCATCAACGCCAGGTAACGTTGCAACCGGACCAGCTGGGCCTCAACCAGCCCAAAACACAAAACCAGCACCAAACGGCTCTGTGTTCTTCTGCTTCTTTCAAGAAAGAGAGAATCTGATGTCTCAGCAATTTGCTGCGTTTCCAGTACAAATGTGTGCAAAATTCTGTCAACGTCAAAAAACACAATTTTCCAAAACAAAATGCAATTAAAATGAAACATTAAAAAACATGTTACACCATTATCCTCCAACCACTTCCTGTCGTCTTATTTGTCGTTTCCACCAGTAGTAACATCATTAAAATGAGTTTAACTTATCACATTTACATAAATGGAGTTTATTTTTGTAATTCCAATTATCTGGCCAATGGAAACGCAGCTAATGGCAACAAAAGTGAGCTTTTGTTCCTTCGAAGTCGTTCCAATAATGTTTCTCCCAAAGTGTGAAAATGTTCATGAGACAAGTTTCTGTCGGCGGGTTCCTTAAACCTCATGGAGGGATGACAAGGAAACGCTGGAGCAATCCAACAATAGATCTACAAATTAACATTCAGAAAATAAAACAGAAGAAGCACCAATAAAGTAGCAGAGGTAATTTTAAAGCAGAATTAACAACGTAAATAAACCCAGCAGAGCCAGAGAGCAGAGCGTTGTGTTTTTGACTTCTTTAGAAAGATTTCTCCCTCCAGCTAACTGCTTTCTCACGACTTCAACGGCAGGTTCAGAGACGTGGCGGCCATGTGGAACGACCCATCGTCCATGACTACATCCTGAAGGCTCCCAAATCTGGCTCTTGCTTTAGCTCCTCCATTCTACGTTCACTGTTAGCTTGGAGCCAATAAGTTTTTAGTTAAAGCCTGTTTTCTGCGTATTGGTGTGAAAAACACTTTGACATTTTGAAAAACAAAATGTCAATGCTGTTTAATGTAGATAAAGGCACAATTAGTCATATATTAGCTTAGCTTCAGTTAGCATTCCCACTTAGCTTAGCATCAGAAACATCTAAACCAGAAACATTTTGCAGTGACAACAAAACATTTTTAATTGCCGAAATCTTGAAATGTGAAGATAAATGTTCTTAAAAAAGTCAAACTAAACATTTATTTAGCATGTAGCATTTCAAAGAAGTCATTTTTATCGGTATCATCATATAAAATTACAAATTATGTCATAAAGTTCAAAATAAAAGAAACAATTTAAAAAGAGTAAAAAGCTGCAGCGGTTTAATGCGGTTAGAGCCATGTGATGCTGCTTGGCCTCATCACGGTTCAACACGACGTCCAGCTGGTTTCATTGCAGAATAACTTTCACTCCTCAGCGAAAGTTTCACAGTTTTTTGTTGTTATTTGTCTCGCCCTCCCCGCACCACGCCCGCCTCCCATCCCTTGTTTTCCACCGTTTTCAGGCTGACGTCTGAAGTCACTGGAATGGGCTCGCTCTAGTTTCCATCCTGCGCCGCGCATCACATGACCTCTGAGTAAACGGCATTAAACGTGGTTTATCGACCTCCGTTTGACCGCTCTGCTGTTTTAAATCGATATTGTAAAGGTGTCACTCTTACCTGAAACTGTCTTTTGTTTTTCTCTGGACTCTTTTGCCTTCTTTTGTTTTTGTCGCTCAACGTTTCTCAAACGTTTGCTCTGACGAGTTCTTACTCATTTTCTGATGATTTTCTGATGCAATGAGTGTGCTTGCAGAAGTTATTGCCTGTTTGTCTCAGTAACGGTTTGCATGACTCAGCATTTCAGATTTATTTTCAAGTCATGTGGAAATGGAAGCTGGAACTGAATACATTTGTTAGATTCTCAAGCCGATCTTGTTTTTCATGCGACTCCTGACAAAAAGCTGGGAAATGAAGGTTTGTTGTGTTAATGTCGGCAGCAGAGAGTAAAATTCGTGTCCAGCTGTAGCCGTTTGTGTTCCTGACGCTGTAATTTTACCTCTGTGCACCTGGACCGTTGGGACAAGTCGGCTGCGTTGCGTTTGCAGGCCAGTGAAATCTCTGGGGTCGTTTCTTTTAGCTTCATTGGAGCTCTGAGAAATGATTTCTTGCACAGATCATGTTTCTGTTCTGCATGTTTTTAACTTTGCACCACTTTCTGTTGTGAACATTGAAGCATAAATCAGTTCCCAAAAGTATAAAGTGTCGGTTTCATTAGTATTTTGCTCTCCTTTAAGCAGAATGACAAAATAGTATTTTCCAGTCAAAGCTGAATGTATGGGAGGTTTATATTAAATGCTACGTTTTAACTGGTTTGTTTGCATTTTAAGATAATGTGGCTTAAAAATACATTGGAGAAACTGATAAGCTTAATTATTGATCTATAAGGTAAAATATTGATATCCATCCATGGATCTAAACCCTCATTGAACCATCGGGGCTCCGACACCTGAATCAAACGAATGCTAGCAGAACCAGCTAAAATACCAAGGAGCTAATTTAGCCTTTAATTTCAGATGTTGCACTCAGACTAGAGCTGCTAATACCTCATTTAAATTCAGTGGTGGGCAGAATGTTAGCTATCCAAAAAACCTGATCATTAGATACGCCAATGCTCTACAGCTGTCCAGTATTCAGTGGAAGCTAATGCTAAAGCGCCAACAGACAGAGACATTGTTCCTGTATGTTTTTGTTTGAAATAAATTTAGTTGGGGGTTTGGGGGGAAGGAGAAAACGTGACGATCCTGCTGTATAAACTTCAAAATAAAAGCATGAGTATGAAAATTTGTTAACACACAATAAAAACTTTACAAAACAGTCATAATTCATCTAGAAAAACAAAAGCAGGGGAAGCTAAGTGTGCTAACGTTTCCAACGTTAGCTAAAGCGCTAAATGAAGAGTTAGCGCTGCTGTTAGCCCCACTGCTGGCTGATGATGTCACTTTCATCCCTGATCATTCAATATGTTCTTGGTTTCACTCACATCTTGGATTCTGTGCAAAAGGAGCAAAAACAATGATATGAAGTGATTTTTGAAGGTGATGAAATGTATTATGATGATTATGGTTTTGATCATTAAGATCTCAGATTTCTTATGTATTGAGTTTGTAGCGTTTTGTAAAGGAGAGACAATAAGAATAAAAACTGTTCTTTTCCTCCTTTGACTCAAACTGTGTTCATTATAAGTTGTTTTGTTCTTAAATAAAAAAATAAATCCTTCAGATAATCAAACCTTTGATAATGTTCTTCTCTTTTCAGAGGTTTGTGGTAGAATCCACCTTCATTCTGTATGAAACAAAGACGAAGCCAGTCAGCCTCTCTGCTCATCAAACATATTGATTAACAGATTATAATCAGTGAGCAGCTCAAGAAAAGCAGAAGTTTAATCAGTTTGCTGCTCTGCAGTGTGTAGGTGTGTGTCAGCAATGACCTTACACCCAGGGAAAGGTCAAGGTCATTTCCAAACAGCCTGATTATTACAGACAGCTGCCAATCTTCCCAGCAGAAAACGCTCAGAGAAATGACCAAGTTAGCAGGTTAAAGGTCATGACCGGTCAGTTAAAGAAACACTGACATTTTTAACGCACCATACGAACTGGGCATTCAGGGGAAGCTAGCATGCTATACAAACACAGTACATAGTAGAAGCTAATGCTAATGCTACATCAGTATTTCGCCTCAATAGGGTGAAACTTGTTGAATCTCACAGAACTTTGCCAAGTAAAGAAACTAAAGGCAAGTAAATTAATGCTTCAGAATTTAAAATATAATTTAGGGAAAGTTGCACTAAATGTTTTCAAAGTTAGCAAAAATGCAAAAACATAAAAGCCATTAGCTCTGCTATTAGCATATTAGCAGGAAGGAGCCTCGCTGGGTTTAAATCATTTTCAAACCCAGTCTAGTAGCGACAGAAGGTGAGATGTTTTCTTACCATGACTGTAGATTTACTCATTAACTCCAATAAATACTTTAATAAAAATCCCCATTTTGCTTCGTTCTGTCACATTTAGAGCAGCAGAAGAAGAAATGGCCAGCTGTTTTTGTTTAGCGGCCGTTTCTTCAGACGGATACGAATCCAGGACGAACAATGAATCCATTTGATATTAATGCAGAGATCAATTTAAATCTCTGCATTTCAAACTCCAGACAAACTTTGTAATCAGTTCAGAGAGAGAGAAACCTTCGTGTTGTTTTAGAGAAATTATCTCCCTAAATGTTCCCGTCAGTCGACTCTCAGCTGACATTTGCTTCACTTGAACGTTTTTCAGGTTCACACTCAGGTTTTCAGGTTTTAAACTAACATTTGTCTAGATTTTATTTCCCAGAACGTCAGAGTTTATTCGACAGGTAAACAGAAAACAAAACTAAAAGTTAAATAACAGCAACACTTTTCAGCATGATGCAACAAGCAGCAATGTCCCAACAAACATACAAAAACTCTTCTGTTCCTAAGAGTTGCTTAAATTCACAGAAGAGCTGAAAGTACAATTTTGTGCCAAGCAAAGGAAAATACTTCCTGTAGACTTCTGTGCAAAAGTCTTAAATCACCTCTACTCTCTGTTCTTCTTTGTGATCTTTACATGTTGTGCAGTTTTACTGAAAATAAGAAAAGCAAATTATTGAAATTAGTACATATGTCTGTCTGGTATTAAAATGTTTTCAGCCACTGAAAAATGTCAGAGTTTCACTTCCTCTCCTTATGTTTTCTCAACCTCTGAATCCTTGTAGCTACTTCAAACTACATGGCTAATAAGAAAAATAGCTAAAAGCTTATTTTAGGTAAAAAGGCTAATGCAATGACATAATATAAAAAATGTAAAGCCTTTTATTTTGACATTTTTAGTAATGTTAATTTTAAATTGTCAAACTAATAAGTGTAGGAGTAATTGGATTAAATCAGTTATATAGTGCACAACAGAGCAATTACCTGATGTAAAAATTGGCTTAAGCTTAATTTAAACTTGCCACACTATTCATGTGTGTATGGTTGGTTAAAGTCAGTTATAAAACGCCCAAAACACCAGCAGTCCTAAAGTCCAGTTCATTCCTCAGGGCTATAGTTAGAACTACAGTGATGCGTTTTTGTAGTCCTAATCAGCTGCTCCGCCCTGCTGTGTTCCGTTGCTATGGTAACGGATCATCTGCCAGCTGCGAGGCAGCCAGTTTGACTAAACAAAGCGGTCCAAACAACCCCTTCCGGTTCCGTGATACGTATCGGAGAAACGTTTGAAGCGTATGAGAGGGCTATCTGTCGTCTCCAATAGTCCCGCGATTCATATCCGAACCTTACTCACAGTAATAGCAGCGATGAGAAAAGAATGGCGCGCTGAGGTCTGCTATTTTTCAGATAAGTATAAAAACACACATACCCAGAGCGCCGGGGTAACTGACGCTCTGAAGCACCTTGACAGAAAACTGTTAGCCCTAGCGAAATTTCGACAACATTTTCCTGGAGCAGGCATACGTATCAATATCATGACTGACTTTGATACCAATGGTCGGCCCATTGGTATCATTATTTGTGGGCGTGACGGCAATTTCAAAATGTACTTGGGGTCAAAATGGGACTCCTTCTGCACTCTAACGGATCTCCAGTTTTCCTCTGGGACCTTTGGGGTTTTTCACTAATTATGCTGCCAAGGTAACTCCAAATCCCACCACAAGCAATAGCTCCAATGCCGCCATTGAGCCGCACGCTTTGGGCACGCAGCGGTACGAGCCGCATTGACGGTAACGGAAGAATAAAGACAGTTAACAATAAAGAGACATTGTGTTGGGGGAAGAACAATAGGTGCCTGCCATGCAATGCGTGGACGCAGGGACTGACTGCTCTCCCTATGCATTGCTATGACCAGGCCCCAATTAACAAAAACACCACATAAAAAGTTAGCTGAGAGAATTCAGCGAGTTCAGGCTCAGAAAACGTCGGATTGTCTGGACATTCCAGCCGTTTTTGGTTTTCTTGTAAATAAGACTGCATTTTTCCACATTTAACAAGTGTAAAGGTTCCTAACAACCACCATTTATTTATATTACACACAATCTACTGTAAATTGGTCTCTTGGACAATTATCAACCGAAAACATCGGTCCACCCCTGGCTGATGGCCGAGCAGCTGCTGACGCCGTTCGGAGTTTGTGACGCCGGTTGAATTTAGTCGGTGGGTAAAAACCTGGGAGTCGTTTCACCTCCTCCTGTTTGTTCCTTAATGAGTCTCTGCTGCCGTCGGTGCAGACGAATTACCCGTGTCAGCTGCTTCTGGTCGGATCGGTCCCCCGTCACCCACTTACTCTCTCCGGTGGATTTCCTCCTGATGAGTGGAGCCTTTGGTTCAGATCGATTCATCACAATTACACGTGTTTACTGTATCGGTGTCCAGGGGCGCGCCGCATTAGCGGCTAATGACGGGGAGGGGACGAGACAGTCCGATTATCCCTCCAGGTTCGTTTGGGTCAGACAGAACCGCTTGTTTTTACAAAGATGCATGAGAAAGAAAAGCAAATCAATTTATCCTCATTCAGTTCGATGCTGTGGTTAACACTTAAAAGCTTTTCACTTAAGGAATAATGAGTTCGGAGCTTGTGCTATGCTAGGTCAGAGCAATGAGCTAATCTTCCAGATTAAATATTTGAACAGTGAACATATTTCTGATGACAGTTTCTAGACTTCTTTGATTCTTTGAATTCAGATTAAATCTAGAAACAGTGGCAAGCACTGCTAGCTAAAAAGTTATCTGCGCTAACTCTAAAGCGCTAATCATTAGCATCGGTTCTACTAAAGCTAAAGTGCTAAATTGATTATTTAGTGGAAGGTAATGTGTTTATTTTGTTGCTGCACTTTTATTCTGGAGAAATAACAGGAAACAGAACTGCTGTGTTAAAACGTCTTCACCCCCTTCAAAATAAGAGTCTGAAAATAAACTTCTACCTACTCGAAGGAACCTTAACTAAAACCAAAACATCAGCACAAATTACTCAACTAATAGTTTAATACTTATAGGGAAACGTTAAGCTGGGGAAGCTAAATGTGCTAAAGCGCTAAATGCGCTAAGAGCGCGTCACAATCACGTGCTATCTGTGTTGATCTCACTTTAAATCCCAATAAAATACCAAGTTACGGTTGGAAAGTGATGAAAAGTTCAGACTGTGTGAATACTTGAGCAAACTTCCAGCAACACAACATAATTATTCATTTTATTGTTTTTATGGCTACAGACGAAGTAAAACAGCTTCAGATCTCAGAGCCCAACCATGTGTGAACAAAAGTTTCCAAATCGACTTTCTTTTATCAAAAACTCCTGCAAGGAACTAATTTCCCCCCGGTGTGAATTCATTTCCTCCTCAGCAGGGCCTGCGGTTCAGAGCAGAAGCCAAGCAGCAGAGAATAAAGTACAAACTGGATAAATTTAGTAAAAATTCAATAAATTACACGTTTGGCTCGTCAGTGTCTGAACGAACCATAGAAGAGGCTTGAATGGAAACGTCTGGAATAATTAAAATGCCTGAAATTCCAAGAAAAACATCTTGTGTTTTCAAACCTTCAATTAAAAAGCTTTTTAATTTTGAAGTCTGTCATCAGAACGACGCTGAGGAGACGTTTGAAACGTCTGCAGGAGTCAGAAATGTGAGGTCATGATGGAGGTATCGATGCCGGCGGTTTGCTTCGTAGCGTCGTCCTTTTGGGGAAAGGTTGCCGCTTGTTTAGCTCAGGGATTATCTCGACTTATTTAGCCGCAGTGAATGCGCCGCTAAATGCAATCAGGGACTTTGGGAGGGCAATCAGGAAACCAGGGCATCTTTAACCACCATTAAAGATTTGGTTAGGGCTGATGGTCACAAGGTGACCGACACACATGCACGCACGCACGCACACGCACACACACACACACACACACACACACACACTCCTGGACGCGGTTAATTTGGACAACGGTTTTCCACCCCTGTGGTTTGGTCTCATTCCCCCTCCAGCTGAAAGTCAGTGACAGCTAATTACCAGCAGCAGAAGAAGAAAGAGGAGGAGAGGAGGAAGAAGTGCTTGGACTGTTTTTCCCTCCAGAAAGCTTTTGGTAAAAATTTTAATTTTATTTTCTGAAACTGATTCAGGAATCAGACTAAATGTTACGTTCCCACATCAGGCCTTGATGCTCACTTTAGACTCTCTTTGCTGAAATATCTGTGATAACTGGATGTCTTACTAACTCAAACATCCAGAAATCCTGGAGAAGCATTGATGCAGATTGCAGGAAGAGCAAAAACACAGGAAATAAAAGTATATTAAATAAGACAAAATAATAAAAACTGAACCTGAGAAAACATTTTAACTAATGAAAACGGTAATTAATGAGGAAACAATAAACTAAATCATTCTTTTGCTTCAGAAAGAGCAGGAGCTTCTTAAAGAAACAGAGACCAATTTCAAGAAGTTAAATTACAAAGTCACATTTCTTTGATATTCAGCATTTTTACAGCTGAAGGTAACATTTATAAAAACACTGGGCCTGGAAAACATGACGCCATTTTAACTCATATAAAGCATAAACACACAGAAATAATGAAATAAAACCTTAAAGGCTTTCTCCCTGCAGTTTCTGCCCATTAGTTTGTACTTTCACTACAACAGGAGTGTAAATACGCGGTAATGCGATTTAGCCTCGTTAGCTTCGTCTGACCGGTTTAGAAACGCGTGCCCAAAGCTCCTCTCTGCCTCCTTTCTCCTCTGGTCGAGGATGAAGCGCTTTCTGTCCTGAAACCCTCTGCTGTGCGGCGCCTGATTTCCCGCGGCTTGGACTTTACGCAGGACTGAGGGAAGCTTCATTATCCATGCCGGGAAATTCATTCTGCTCACTGCATGGCAAGCAGCGCTTCTTCCCCTCGATTGTGTGCCGCTGATAAATTCAAACATTCACACCTTCTTATCTGAACACCTGCATTCTCATTCCAGCGACACGAACTCGACTGAAAGATGCAAACTCTTAAGGGGTGATAGCATCTTCCATCTGATTAGAGCGAGGAGATACGGTCCGCTGTTCTTCGTCACAAACGGACGGGAATTTGGCATCAATATACCTCCATACCTCATCTGGACTATCTAGTCAGATAATTGGGATAAATGTTTAAATGTAGCTATGTTCAATTAGCTAATCTAAATATTTAATTAAATATTTGATCAACTCTGAGTGAGCTGAAGATAAATAGCTCATTTTAAATATGACGCCATCTAATGCTGCTCCAGGTACGAAGCCGCCATGTTGGGTTTCAATTCACCAAGGATTCATTCCAGTTATGAACCTGATTATTTTAACACTGCTGACCACTTACTGAAATTTACAACAAAAACATTTTACATCAGCAAACATGAGATAAACCTGATATAATCCAGCAAATAGACACATCCATTTGCAGCTTCCAGACAGTGGAACTGGATTAGGAATAACTTCTGCAACTGGCAATAAACTCCCTGTCAGTTTTTAATAATAAAAATACATAAAAACCGTCTGTAAATGTGATACACCCAGCAGCCTGCAGCTCTCACAAACCTGAAATGTGTTGCATAATTTCCCCAAATTAAGTCTGGGGAGTTGAGAACAATCCATCATGTCGGCTGGACCAGCAGAACCTCTGAGGCGGGCCTGGACCAGTGAAAAGCCCTGGAGCTGAAGCGACACCTGGAATGCTGGGAACCGCTGACCTACATTGGATTTACATGAGGGGATTGCAAATGGAAGAGCTCATTTTGTCCTTTTCTCTCATCTGCGAAGGTCATCTGAAAGACTTTCTGCTAAAACCTTTTCTGAAAACGGTTCAATAAGCAATTAATCAGATCTGATGCGTTTTGTTTCAGACGCTCGGATGTAAAATAAACGAGTTGTGCAGTAGAAAGCGGGTCTGAAAACAGACAAAACCTGATTTAAATGTGTCTGTGAGCTGAAAACCAAAGTCCTACTCTGAGCTTTGGAGAAAAAACTTCAAAATAAGAGCATGAATATAAACGGCCAACTGTCGACAGCTAAAAGCTCAGCAGAGATGTCAAACTTCATTCAACTGGAAGTTTGCAAAGCAGAGCTCTCAATCTATTAAAGGCTAAACTAAATGCTTTTCCATAAACGCCAAGGTGCTAAGTAAGAAATTAGCTTTGATATTAGCGGATAGTTTTCACCAAAGGACACGAGTAAAACCACAAACCACAGACAACAGACCTTATTTTCCCGTTATAAATGACAATTACAACAATCATGAATATCTAAGCATTCCTTAATGAAGATCTGCAATGTTAAGCTAACATTTTCAAAGCTAGCAATAATGCTAAGTAAGAAATTAGCACTGCTATTAGCGGCAGAGAACTCAAGCAGCCTTTTTACCAAAATATTATGTATTTGGTAATAAATGAATAATCTATAATTGAGATAGACTTGTGATCAATGTCCAGAGAAAACACTTTCAATAATTTAACTCCGATACAGAACCGCATGGCATTCTGGGGATGATGTCAATTTGAGCAAATCAAGTTTGGAGGAAAACCTGATTTCCTTTGACAAACCTGTTCCCCTCCCGGCCTGTGGGGGCGCTGCACCAAGAACCACCGAAGGAAACAACACTAAAAACTCTGAAGACACTAAAAACTCTGACTAAACAAAAACAACAATGGAGGGGCGCCAGATTTCAGTGGTTGGAAGTTTCTCTTTTGTCTTTGGGAAAACAGTCATTTCTCCTGCTAGCGCTAAGCTAGTGTGTTTGTTTTGGTTGTATTTACCCAGAATGCCGTGCACGGCAGTCCACTTCCTGCTTTTGGAGCGGTCTCTGGTCCTCTTGGTGTTCTACAGAGTTTAATTCAACCGAACCGAGGATTGTAGGCGGACCAGAGTTTGATTAGCATTCTGACCTCTTCAAACGAACCGGACTTTCTGGACAAACGGACTGGAGTTGCATTAAAGAGGAATAATTCACTCTAAATATGTTCAATGAGAGGATCCGGGTCTTCACTGGAGAAACTTTGAATTTCCAGGTCATGTCTGTGTTCTACCATAACCAGTTATTTTTATTCCAGATCCAGTTTCACAGGTTTCTAATCTGTTATTCTCATCACCTCTGCCCTCTAGTGGTCAGCCTACATATGGCAACCTATTGCAAATTACATCATCCCCATCTCTTGTTTGCATAGTGAGTAAATTACATCCAAATTGGACAGTTCCTGCATGGTGATGAACTGATTTCAGTTTTCATGTGAAACTGTTCAAAGAAGAAATTAGCTGCTAACATGAAGGCTGACATCTTGATGCAGCTGGAATAATCAATAACTCACCTAATCTTTCAAAATGCAATCATCTTTAAAGAAGTTGGCGCCACAGAAGCTGCTCAGCGATCCTGGCGCTCCGGGTTCGCTGTGAGTGGGGATAATTGGAGGAGGAGGAGACAGAGGGAGGTGCAGCAGGCAGGAGGAGGCGGCAGCCCGCTCTGCACTCAGTTCAGGGAGACCAAGCTCCGCGTCCGCCTGCTCCATCTTTCAACAAGTGAAAACGTGAGAAACGGGCATTAAGAAGTGGATTTACTCCAAAACAAACGGCCAAACTCATCCTGCCTGTTTCCACCGGAGCTGGAAAAACCAGAGGAACTCCAAACATTTCCGTCAAGAAGAAGAAGCTTCAAATCGTTTTGGTGAGCAACTTTAGACGTTTATTTTTTAAACGTTTTGCTTCCTAAAAATGACTCCTGATCTTGAAACTGAATGAAGTTAACACTAAACTGGTGAGATTTTAGTGTTTTACCTCCTGCAGTCAGAATAACAGCAGCAGGACGCCCCCCTCCTGTTAGAAACCTTAAAATAGGAGCCATTATGTGCGGCTTGGATGAGGAGATCCTCAGCGGATGACCTCAGACTCAGCCGGGGTTCATTGTGAGAGCCGCTCCTGCAGGACAGACCGAGTAAATTTAGAGTCTGGCTATTCTTATCTGGGAGGCGGCGGTCCTGAAGAGACGGAGCGCTGCAGGAAGAGGAGACGCTCGCTCCTTCTGTCCAGCTGTGAAATCACATAATTACGACTGAGGCGAGACATTACGCCCGGCCTAATTGAATGAGAAAACGCAGGTGATGACCTGCGTGTAAGTCCGCCTGCTGCTTTATGAGATTTGGATGAAAGGATTCATTCTCTTTAATCACATTATCCATTTTGAAAGCACTGTGGGGATGCTATTAACTCTGCAGATTGAAGACAACAACACAGGAGTTGAGGCTGGATTTAAATAACAACTGTTTTGGTTTTATTCCAGAACACGACATGATGTTTGGAGTCCGGCGTTTTTCCTGGAGTTAATCTGGAGATTACAGCTTTCCACTGGAATATGTCCTGGATGAAACATGCGTCAAAAGAATCGATTTTGATGGATTATCTCAAGATAAGATTCCACGTTTCCACAAATGAGCGGCTAATTTTATCTTTCTAAAGTCTGATGAGGGAGACGGTCAGGCCGGACGATGAAGTCTTCTCCCTGACAGGACGTTGTGGAAGTCCCTGCTGATTATGCAGGACGTTGCGAGGCCTCGGATGTTTGGCTTCGCCCTGCTGTGGGGCGTGATTCTCCTACATAAGGCGACTGTGACGGCGTGTCCCTCCAGCTGCCACTGCATAGAGAAGAACGGCTTGATGGTGGTCCAGTGCATGTCTCGCAACCTGGAGAGGATCCCCCCAGACCTTCCCAGGGACACAGTCGTCCTGCTTTTGGCGGCCAACCACATCACCCACATTCCCAACCACGCCTTCAGAGAGCTGCACTACCTGCAGGAGCTGGACCTGTCCAACAACGAAATCGAGACGGTGGACATGGGTGCGTTCCTGGGCGTCTCCGACAGCCTCCTGGTGCTGGATCTATCCAACAATCACATCCAGAGCGTCCCCAAGGAGGCGTTCGCCCGCCTGCGGGCCAAAATCAGCCTCTCCAACAACCCGTGGCACTGCGAGTGCACGCTGCAGGAGGTGCTGCGGGAGCTGCGCCTCGACCCGGAGACGGTCAACGAGGTGATCTGCCACACGGCGGTGCAGGAGGAGTACGCCGGCAAGCCGGTTATCCAGGTACTGGACTCAGGGATCAACTTCTGCAACTTCCACCACAAGACGACCGACGTGGCCATGTTCGTCACCATGTTCGGCTGGTTCACCATGGTGATCGCGTACGTGATCTACTACGTCAGGCACAATCAGGAGGATGCCAGGAGGCACCTGGAGTACCTCAAGTCACTGCCCAGCAACTCTCAGATCAGCAAGGACTTTGACACCATCAGTACGGTTCTTTAACAGGAGACGATGTACGCAGAGTTCTGGGAGAACAGTCCTGGTAAGGTCACCACCAACCTTCACGATGCAACTACAGCTTTTCTGATTGGTTGAGTATCCCAACATTTTCTACCAGGCATAATAACGACTCATAATGTGTTTGCAAACACAACATTCAAACCTACAGATTATTTTACTTGAGTTATATTCAGTTACATTAATAATCGACTTTGACTTGTGGTGGAGGGAAAAGCCAGAATCAATCTCACCACCTTTGAGTGGACGACATTTCTCCGAGCAGCCGCAGTGTGTGAGGTTTTTAAAACAAATCAGATATTATCAGGCTGTTGTCACACCTGAAGGTCCAGTAAGATGCAACATTTACTCCATCTCCACCTGCTGTGGTCAAACCAACCAAACCTTTTGAGCAACCTGTTCCCCTCCTCACCTGTGGGGGCGCTGCACCAAGAACCACTGAAGGACACGACACTAAAACCTCTGTTGACACTGCGAACAACAAAATGCAAAAAAACAAAACAAAACTAGATTTTAGCGGCTGTAGGATTTCTCTTTTGTCTTTGGCTGAAGACCACGAGCCATTTCTCCCGCTAGCGCTAGGCTACAAAGTTTATTTTGATTGTATTTACCCAGAATGCCCAGCACTATAGTCCTGCTATTTCCTGCTTTTGGAGCATCTCCTGTCGGCTTGGTGTTCACACATGAACTCAAACAGAACCAGAGTTGACTTCAACCGAACTGAGATTGAGGTTTGTAGGGAGGCCAGAGTTAGCTTTTTAGGTTTTATTACACATTCACACTTAGCCAAAATGAACCAGAACCAGAGTTTGCAGATGTCCCTCCACCACCAACATAAAAAAATTAAAAAAAAATCTGTTTTTTATGATGAGAAGAAACTACATTTATCTACATGGAAATATTTTCAGTTGAAAATACAGACATTAAAACAGCTAATTAAAAAGTTAGTTGCACTAAAACTAAAGCACTAATCCTAAACATTGGTTCCACTAACCTGAAAGAGCTAAATCAACTCAGCACTTAGTGGAAGCTAATATTGTTAAATTCAACCATTTTGAGCAGTGAGCACTGCCAAGTGATATGTTAGATACACTAACCCTACAGCACGAAAACATTAGCTCTACTCATGCTAAAACAATCATCAAACATGGCGTTCATCAGAAGCTAATGCACTAAATTTAACTAGTTGGAGTACCTCTAACTAAAAGGTTTTACGTTTTAATTGTACATCATATCAACGCATGTGTAAAAACATCAATTTTGCAGAAATCAGCTAATGTTAATTTGTATAGGAAAAATTTCCGCTTGGAACAAGGGAAACAAAAAAATTATTAAAGAACGCAAAAACTTTTAGAAAACAGAACCTCCAGTCCACTTTATGGTCTGGCTGTCGACTCCAGAAACAAAAGCTCCAGCGATTATTTCTTAATGTTTCGGCGAAAGAAAATGCAGACATGTGCTCACAGTCAAACTCTGCGACAGCTGCAGCTTTCCTGTGGAGGAGTTTTACTTTTGTTTTGGGATGTAACCGCCGTTAAACTCAGATTAGCACTTTATCTGCCTGGGTTTCAAGCTGCATCAAGAAGTGTTTTAATCTAATACATTCCTTAATCTGAACTTTTAGCCAATTTTCATAGTAAAATTTTATCCATTTTGAAACTGTTAAGTAAACTTTCAAATTGGCTTCCAGTCAAATTTATAAAGCTGCTTAGCTTATCGAGCTAGCACAGCATGGCTAAGATCAGAAGGTATGAGGCAGCATTTATGCTAAACAAAGGGTAATAATTATTGAACATTATAAAAGTTGATATTTCTTTACATATTTTGTCAATTTTGTGTGTTGTGTTTGCAAACGATACGACTTCATTCCACTTTATTGCTGCTTTAAGTGAGGAACGTTTTGCAGGTCGGTGGTGATGAGGAGCAACGTGTCAGGAAGATTAAATAATCTGATGATCACCTGAAAGAAATGCTGGAGGTTCCTGAAGGCAGCAAAACATTACAGCAAATGATTTGGGAAATCTATTGTAAATACAATAGATTGTTGCGTTTTATCTAACTGAGAAAGATGCTAATGCTATAAAAATCAACATATTTTTCTTATTCTGAAATATTACAACTCATTTCTGATTTCTAAACCAAGTTCAACCAAAACGTCGATGCCACAATAGCTGGAGATGAAAAGCACAAACTAAGGCAAAAATAAACCTTCTCATTTTCAGTTCTGATGAATCTGTACTGATCAGATTTCTGTTTGTTGTGATTCAAGCGGAGGGGAAGAACAGAGTCTCCCGGTTCCTTTGCTGCGGCTGATTTACGCCGCAGATGTCCCCAAGTCAAGGTGAAGACGATTTTACGAGCTACGCACTAATTTATGAAGCTGCTCCAGATGCCAGCATAAAACAGCAAAGTTTAAATAAACTGCAGAGCTCTTAGAAATGATGCTCCTTACGGAGCCAACAGATCATTTACAAAAGCAAAAGTTTCCAGATTTTTTTATCTTTTTAATGCAGTTTGAAATCATTGAGATTTTTGGAGCCCATCGTTGGGTTTAGAGTAAATCCTAAACTTCTCAGAAACGTCTTTACCAGGCTGGAATTTGACTTTTTAATGCTTTAATTATAATTTATGCACTTTGGACTAAGTGCATAAATTACAAGCAAACAGCTGCTGATCTTGACAACAGGAGGACATTATGGTTCTTTTACAGCTGCTACACTTTACCCACCTAATGCTCTATTTTTTAGATTTTACTGCCAATATTCTGTGTTCTTGTAAACATTAATGCATTTTTAGCTGCCGTTTTCTTTTCATAAAGTGGAAAAATGTTTATTTAAACATAAATATGATTTGGAGTCCATGCAAAGGAAGGATTTATTTGTTGTAGCTGCAGCGATGACCAGATGTTTGGATCTGAACTGTTAATTTTATCACATTGTAAATAAATCGATTCAGGAAGAAAAGCTGGAAATCAAAATATGATTCTGGTCACCTCACCTGCTGCTGGTTTGGCTGCAGAAGTTAAAATGTTCATATTGAGTCCAGAAATGCTTATTCTATGGAGGACTCATCCTGCCAAAATTAGCAATACAAATGAAAAAATAGATAGATGTCTTGAAGAAATAGTAAACAGTCCCTGAAGGGTTAGATGTCCCCCCTCCAATCAAAGTCGCTGATTTTGTGATGTAACTTAGAAATATTTGCTGTACTTTTTTCTCAACAATCGACTTAAAGAAAAAACAATGACAGATTGGGCACACAAACATTTATATTATTTACATTTTTGCTACGTTCCACAGCGATCACAAAGTATAACTTGACATTGAGTAAACTGGTCTCATGAAGAAATGTTTAGATATTAATGATTAATCATGATTATTTATGCCCAGAAGAGAAAGGATGTGTTATATCAACTTACCACAAATTAACCCTGAATACGTAAACGAAAATGTGAATTAGTCGAAAAAGTCCAGCTGGTACTCTCAGTGCTAATGGGTTAGCAGCAGAGCTAATTTTTTTAATTTTTTCTAAACATTGAACACATTTGGCACGTTTAGCTTCCCCTAATATAAATACAACTCCCCTAAAAGTTTTGATTTTCAACGGTTAGAAAATCTTCAACTATGCTAAATTAAATTCAGCAATAAAATAAAACCACAAAGAACAAGAGATAAACAAATACGATACGGAACATGGAAATTGTCAAAATTAAATTTTTGCTCCAGGCTTGTAGTCTTCTAAGGGAAGATCTAATTTCAAATGAAGTTAGCGCGTTAGCATTAGTAGCTAGTGTTACTATTTAGCTTGCGAGTGCTAAAAGTTTAGCTATGTAGTGTTAGCGGGACAAATGGTTTTTGATCACTGCTTTGTGATCAGAGCAATGATCATTGCAGTTCATTATCTTCAGTCCAAATAATTCAGTTTTAGACTAATTTGTCCAAAGAATTTGCATAAATTCTGCTTTTTGCTCCGATTTTCATGTTTTTCTTAAAAATTGTTTCCTCCTTCTATGTCGTTTTCTTTAGTTTGAATTGTTTGGTTACATTACTGAAATATTGTTAAGTTGAGTAAAAATAAAAGTAGAGAATATCAAAGTTGGTTTATGATTTGATGAATGAACTCCAGCTCCAAATAAATCCAAACTAGTCATAATTTTGGACATTTTTGCCACGTTTGGCCTGGGAGTAGATGTGATTTTGGTGTTTTTTAGGCGGTCTGTTGGGAGTTAATTGTGTCCAAGTGCCTCTCCTCTGGGATTCCTGCACCGCAGCACTGTGCACCACGATGGGCAGCCAGCTGTTTGTCTGTCCGCTGCAGCCATCAGACAGAAAACGACTTTTAATGTTGACGTTTCGTGTTTTTTGTGCTCTAACTGTTCCTGCTTTCATGTGCCGACCTACGTAGTCGTTTAAATAAATGCAAACCAATAATTTATGACTAATTTCACTAACTGTATTCTGTCTGTCAGTCTGTGCAGTTTTAAATGAGTCGTGTTACATATTCTGTTTTTCTCTGTTATTTGTAAAATGCTGTCTTTGGATACTTCATGTATGTTATGAAGTAAATTAACGTCTTTGCAAACTTTGACTGCTCTGATTATTATCTGGGAAATGAAGGAGCTCCTTTACGTCGATTGTTTGTTTCTTTGTTTTCCAATAATTATTTTGTTTTGTTTTCATTTTTATGGACCAGCAAAATAAAAAGTTTCACCAACAAAATTCAAAGCTTGATTTTATTTTATTTTTGAACCGATCGTCTTTTCTCACCCGTTTAGTTGGAGTGAAGTACAGCGTTAGGATTTTATTCAGTCTGATTTGTGGAAACCCTTTAACAATGCTAGGCTAACATGCTAATCGCAGAGCCAGCAAACATTTAGTTTCCTCTTCATTTTTTCCAATAAATTAACAAATTTATCTTCAAAGGAGAAAAACGTTTTCCCAAAAATCTATTTAAAACAGGATTTAACTGAGAAAATGACAGACTGTAATATTCTCATCACATTTTGACTTTATTCTGGTAATTTTATGAGCTTATTCTCATAATTTCATTTTTTTTCCTTAGAAATACCCTAATGATCTGCAAAAACAAAAAACGTATAAAAAGTAAAATACGGACAGTAAAAATAAACACAATCTCTGAAGGCATCAAGGAAAATGTACATTTGAATTATTTTGTGAATCTAGGTTTTACTAAACCAGAAGGATTTTCTAAACATTTCAATCAAGCTAAAGATCCTTTTTTCCAAGTTTCAGCTGCTGGGTTTAAAATCGGGTCAGAACCAGGATGAATCCTGATGCAGAAAGCTTTCTCCGCCCTGATGCGGTTCAGCTGTAATTTCAGGTAGAAATGGAAAAATATATCCAGTAATCAGCCATAAAAAGCCTGGACTGCAGATGATTTCCATGCTTTTATTTCCCCAGAAGATGCAGCAAACAAACAGAGAAGCACTTTAAAAACATGAACTCTTGTTTTTTATCAGCGTCGCTCAGGCATCGCGGTTTATTCCTCACATTATGCTTCCGGCGCGACCCCAACACGACCCCAATTTGGAGACATTTTGCTCCTTACAGCCGTTTTCTGAATGAGATTCTTTTGTTTATTTTTATTGGAGGTTTTCATTCCTGCAAAATGCAGAAGAAGTTTTTATATTTGACAAACTGTTTCTGCTCTTATCTGAGGTATTTATTGACTTGTTTGTTTTTATAAATAAAGTGTTTTCTTTAAGCGGATTTTAACTTTTAAGACACGGTGGAGGGACTAAGAAATTATTTTTATGGGAATATAAATTACCAACATATGAACAGTT